CAGAGAAGGTTGCAGGGAAGGTGACAGTAGGGGAATCCAATCGCCATCTTCCTGGAGGCCCTGAAGCCCGTGAAAAACCTCTTCCCCATCCTCTTATGCTTCCAAATCTATAAAGATATGTAATCATAAGTTTATAATGTCCAAAAATCACAGCTTCAAACCCTAACTCCTACTGCATTCTTCAGTCAGAACCTGGCAGACAACAACCACATCCTGCATTTCTCTAGGAAAATCTAGATGGTCTGGGATTTGATATTTCAGGGTCAGTTACAGAGGCAAAATCCAGTGAAAAATAATTGATAAGTAGTTAAAAGTATCTGTTCCACTAAAAGACACCATCAAAAAAAAAATAGAAAAGTCACAGAGTAGGAGATATTATGAGCAAAATACATATTTTTATCACAACTATTTTGCAAAAATACACAGAGCTCTTAATAATAAATAAAAACCTGATTAAAGAATGAGGAAATGAACAACATGTACCTCTCAAATGAAAATATATAGATGAAATATAAGCTTATTTTTAGCAGTCTCGCCACTGGAAAACAACATCAGAAAACCACAATTTATTTATTTTTATTTATTTATTTATTTATTTTTAGAAAATCACAATTTAAAGGAGAAAATTCATTTGGTTTATTTTTATAGGGTAATCAAACCACATATGGTCAAATCTATGATGCTGAGACAGAGACATCATTGTGACTCAGTGTGATAAAGTAAAGCCATGCAATTCATGGTGACCAAGATCAGAGTATGATTACAGTACCAGAGAGAAAGTAGCCAAGGACCACATATACTACTTAAGGAAACTCCTGAGTAACCCACCCAGACTGACCCAGAAATGTGCTTTATTTAATTGATAGAGCAGAATCTCTTAATCCCGTCAAGGTGTCATCACATTAAGCATTAAAATTGATCCCTAGTCAACTCAAACACACTACCCTAAATCATAACCTGTCACCAAATAGACACAATAATGGTGTAATATTGTCAACAAACATGTTACAACTTTGCCGTGTACACAGACAACACAGTAACCCCAAAGTCTCAACAATCCGTTGTTTCTCAAATCAGTGTCTCCTTTGATTCAAAACCTTGACTATAAACCTCAAAAATCCTTTATAAGACAAAGAATCACAAAGGGGAACGGCATTAGGGAGATGTTTCCATTGAAACATTGATGACTATACAGTGAGAAAGAATCACATGAAAGCAAGGTACAAACCCTGCAGAGTAAGCCTTAAATTGTCTGGCTGCATGTCCAGTATCTATGGCACAGGCAAGTGGGCATGGGATGGGTGTTGGCATGGGGCATGTGGTGATGAGAGGTTAATTCTGTAGGGCTTGAGCAGCCCCATACCTATAGCCTTGCTGGTAGAAGTTATGAACAGCATCTCACTTGGGGTGGATTCACTCAGGCCTGCAGCTTTCTGCAGGGGACATTCCACATCCTTGGCACCACTGATAACTTCAGATTGTCACTGTATCTGTGTATTCACTCCAACAGCTTCCCAAATAGTCCTCTCCAGAGCTTCCTGCCTGGCCTCCAAGACCTTCCTTTAAAATCTGAGGGAAACCCACCCTGAACCTGCAACACTCGCATTCTGCTTGCCAGTAAAACAAAGAGCATGCAGGCCACACAAGGCTCTTCCACAAGGTCCTCAGTAGCCAGACCCACCTTGGACCATGAAGAAAGCAGCTTCTGATTGCTAGATGGCTGGGTAAAGTGAAATGAACCAAAGGTACCATTTGTCAAGGCAACATTTCTCTACCAGGGTTTGCAGGACTTTCTAGCTGATTTCAGAGTGTCCTCAACTATTCTTTCTTTATATACAGTACAATATAGCTCAACTCCTGTTAAGGTTGCTAATCCCTTCTTTGACCCCAAATTTACATGTGGTTCATTTGGACCAAAATATAATTTACACAATATTTTTCTCTATATTCTTCTTTAAATACAAATTTTCACTGTACATATAGCTAAGATGCATGAATATTTATACCAACAATGTTTATAATAGAAAAACCCTGAGAACAATGATACAGGAGAGTAATAAATAAATCAGCGTATGATAATATCATGAGAGTTTTACACAGCACTTAAAATGCCCAAACAGCTATATGAAATAATATGAATTTTTAATATCTTCATGCTGAGTAAAAATTCTGTAAACACAAAACATCTTTTTACATGTCAATTAGTGTACTATTTATAGGTATTTATACAGATAATTTCTATAACTTGTATTACAGAACAGTAAGTTTTAAACAGAGGTCTTCCAAACAGAGAGATTTACCTGACTTTTTTGCTCAAACCAATTTAATCACGATGCTTCTTAAAGTCTAGACAAATCTGTGTTGATGAGACATGACCTGAGAAAGACTGGACCAGCATCAGTAGGTCTGGACATAAAAGGAGGCCACAAGCCAAGAAGCAAAGGCAGCCTCTAGAAGCTACAGGTAAGGAAAGAGATTTTCCCAAGAACTTCCAGAAAGAAATGTGTTCTTGACCACATCTTGAGTTGTTTAGCTTGTTAATACTGTTCTTCTCAAGTATAAGGTAATTTATCTTGTTTTAAAGCATTAAACACATATGCACATGCACACATGCACACACACACACATGCGCTACTGATGTATGGTTCAGTGTCACACAGTGATACTGTGTACAATGATTCAGTGTACAGATGTATGGTTCAGTTGTGGTTCAGTGTCACACAGTGATAGATATAAAAAATCAATCTGGGGTTAAAGAGTAATAGATGGGACTATTTCACATGAGATGGTCAGACTTTGGGTAAAGTTATAGAGGTTTAAATGAGAACAAGACACATGATTTCCCCAAAAATATTTCAGATAACACAAAGTGCAAAGTTCTCATAGACAGATGAGAACTTCACATGTGAAAGAAACAGACAAAAGGTCAATGTGGATGCAGGAAATGGGGCCGGAAGGATAACTATGAGATATATTATTTGTGTTGGCCATTGGGTTGCTTGAAAGGGGAATAGAAACACCAGCAGAAAGGGTGAAGATTCATTTTTCTGCTATCATTTATGTTTTGGAGTGGTAACACATTAAATTTTTGCTGTTGAAGAATTTTTATTGCCACACAGAAGTATAAGCAATCTAAACAGTACAGATGACAGTGTTAAAAGTAAATTATATATTCAAAGATTTTCTAGATCCAGCTAGTTTAAAAAAATTTGAGGGAAAAGGGGCAGAAAGAATCAAAGTACATTTTTTAAATACATTCACTATCTTTTCTCTGTTTTATACTTTTCTAACTGCTGAGGCTGTACCCAAGTCAGTAACCATGTGCGAACATGTCTGTGTACATGCAAAAGAAATGTAAGAATCCTATAGTTGCTGCATAATGAATAATTTGATCTGAAGGTGAACTTTCAAAATATGAAATGAAGAACACTAAGTAGCCTTTGTGGACATCCTTGCTTATCATAACATGTTAAAGACACTAATGCTTGAAAATCCACAGTTATATTAGCTACATGGAGTAATTTGAAGCATGAGATTTGGAATAAGATTGTCTCAGTTCAGATTTTTGTGGCAGTACTTACCATATTTGAGACCTGTGGGAAACCATTTACCCTTCATATAACTAGGCATTTTTCTTTGATAAAAAATAATAATCAAAAAAGTTAATAATCACATTTGATTGACAGCTATATAATAAAGAACTCTATATGATAAAAGAAATATAACATTAAGCAGTGTGTAACATAATAGTAATCACTAAGTTCCAGATAATTCATATGGTTTCTCTTCTTTTCTTTATTGGGCTCAGGTAATGTGTTGATTCCCAACTCCCGGCACTTTAAATATACTCTAAGCAATGTCTATGAATTTATCCTAGCTTCAGCAAATTTGTTCTCACTATCCTATACACTTCAAAGTGAAATCACTGTAACAATTGGTGTATTACCCAAAAAATATAGGATATATTCAATTCCATTGACGAAGACCTTTTCCTTTGACTGTCATTCTGCTTAAAATTATTCAGATATTTCTTAATGGATTTTATCAGCAGCCTCTGAAAACAGATTTCACGTTTCCTGGACAAAGTTAAAAGGAACTTTGTATATTACGTCATCGCAATTTTGATCTCTGTGGTCTTTAGCCAGCTGGGTAAAACTTCAACTAACTGAAAAAAAACCAAAAATATTGCTAAAAGGTTGCTGATTTGTTTATTTCTTTGGGATTTTTAAAATAGTGTTTAGAAGATTCTCCTGGGTTTAAGCGATTTCAAGTTACAAGGAGACCATTTCTGGCAAATTTCTCCACTTCCCAGAGACTTGGTTTCTTTATTCTGCTCCGTGGTTATCCAGTGATTTTTCCTATTTATGAAAGTGCCAATATAATACAATGCCTCACAATTTCATGACATAAAGAAAGGCAAAATCATTTTTGCCAATTCACAAGTGGCAAAATCAAATACATTGAGTAAGTTATCAACTATATCTCTAGGTCACGTCTTGATTATGGAAGGTTTCTTTTTTTTATTACTGGTTGCACTTTCCTTCTGTATTTCTTAAGCAATTTCTTAGAATAAAAAATATTGTTCTCCAAGAAAAGAATACTTAAACAGGTCAAGACTGCAAAGTGATTCACGGACATTACTCTTCATGGTTGATATCTTACTTCTAAGAACATGTTTATTTTGCACATGATACAACATGCTTTATTTTAATCACATTTATAAGTACCTCTTGGTCAAGGGCCAAAGTGAATATATTAAAACCTTTCTAATGTTGCCATATTAGAAAAAAGCTAGGCATCAGAACTATCATCAACCAAAGACTTTAATAATATCTAAGGATGTTTAAAAAATATAATATAGTGCTAATAGTTGAATGAATACATCACTTATATAATTTTAATAAGAAATGTAATGTTGTCTTTAACAGTTGATTGCCTTTTCTATAAGTACAAATTCCCTCTTCACTAGTTTTAGTTTGGGTGCATGACAGTCGTCTCACCTTTAATTTATTGCAACATCTTCTTTTCCTTTTCTCTGAAGGATCTATCTCCATTGGTTCAGTCACATCCTCATGTTGGTCCATGCTTAATGATATATATTACACGAATATTTTCAGTTGTTGTTGGTTAGTTTGAAATGACCACCTATCCATGGTTTAAAAAGATAATTTTTTCACTTTATAGACATATCAATTTAGAAATGATAAATTCCACAACGTCAACACAAACCAGTCAGTCTTTAATGTGTATTAAGTCTACTACATTTCTGCTATTTGACTGAGTAAATGTTGGACACAAAACAAGAAAGGAATCCACATGAGTCATACCATTAGGGAGATTATAATTAGGGAGACAAAACTGTAGAGAAAAAGTTAAAACCAGAAGGACATAATACAGAATCATTTTATATGACAAAAATTTAAATTATATAAATTAAACTACATTTTTTCTCTTTTTTAAGTACAATAATATCAGTATAGGTGGCCAACATACCACACTTTCTGCTTCACCATGGTATTTTACATACATTTTAGAGGACTTTAATATGGCTTTCTCTGAATTTTTTTCTGATTTTAAAGTGACACATATAAATATTTATTTGGTGCACAGTATTGAAGATCAGGCCCAAGGTATTGGGCTATAGGCAGGTAACTTTTTCCCTGAAGAAAAGAGCCCAGTACTTCCCTGTGGAATGGGGCAGGACATCAAAATCTTAGCAATTTCTACTCCCTGGGTCAACTTTCACTACTTCAGGGCTCTTAGAGAAGTAACACTCTCAAGTGGCCTGTTGCTAGCATGTACCTGTGGATCTCCTCTGAGCTGATTGGAGAAAAATATTTCTGAAAAAACATTTTTTTCCTGTCACAATGAACCAAGCTTTGTGGAAAAAAACAAAAATAAAGGTATTTAAATGTCTTTCTGACACATTCCAATTTTTCATACTTACCAATTTAATTTCACCCTCCATTATACAGTCAAAAAATATAAAGAAATAGAGTCTACTCTAGTAATTCTATGCATGGATCTGATTGAAATAACTGCTTAGTAGAACATTTTTAAGAAGGTAACTTTCTCAAACAAGCCTAGAAAATAATAAAGTAAACAGAATTTAAAGCTGTATATTTATAGTGTAAAAATATGATTCCTTATAATTTTAGATTAAATAAACATGAAGCATATCTGTCTGCAAAAGGAATATTTAAAAGGTCTTCAGGGCTTAGAAAATTGGTATACAGAATACATAAAGTGTAAAGTTTGTAACATTTATAATGACTGCTAAGTACGTATTTTTAGTAACCTGCAGAAATTCTTATGTAGAAGAAAGGTTTAGAGATCTAAAAGGTTCTTACCTGAATTTAGAATCCTACAGCAACTGCAATAAGTCTAACCTTTAACTTTTCTGAAAGTCGCTTTTTAAGTTTTTTTTTTTTTTTTTTTTTTTTTCTTTTTGAAGTCAGTCCAGTAATGATTAACCCGCGTCTTAGGTCAAGGTCTAGATAAATAAAACAATTGTACCTATTTCTGGCTCACAACCCATCCAAAATTTTAAAAATTTACAGTAATAATTGCTCAGAGATTATGTATTATTTTATGTTAATACTTTTTGAAATCTTTCTGTGATGATTTGCATTTGTTTATTCAGGTAGGTTGGTGATTTTTTTCATTACACATAAAAGTACAATGCATTTTCTGAAGTGAAGTTCTTCCAAATAGAAAAAGAATTCATGGAAATCCTATGAATTGTATCTGCAGCATATATTAGCAATAGAAAGAGAAGGTAACATAGGCATTTTGTGCTTGGCACTTGGGTAAGGTTTCAATGTGATGTAGAAGACACTGTACATCACACGTGGAATGGTAAGGTGATGAGACTTATGAGCTGAGCCTGGTAAATGACACTTTGAATGACGGAGTCCTTACATAAAACATGAGGGAACACTGGTTGGAGTTTTCTTCCATCACATATAAAATAGGTTTTAGAAATGTATGAATTTTGGACTACTTTTAATTTTTGTTTTCTTTGTTCTGTTTTTCTTTCTAACTTTCGATCAGTAATTCAAACACTTTTAAAATTCTGGTATACTTTTGACATAGAGTTTAAAATGTAAAGTGTAAAAATGTGTGTGTTTCAATGGGTGTGTGCGTGTGTGTTAGCACTTCTTCAGTTTAAATATTAGCACAGTTATGCTAACCGTGCATTCATTTTCTGTATTTGGGTCAATGGAATAGTTCTATTCATTGTTCTTGAATGTATATAAATTATAAAAGAATCAAATATTATAAGGAAGAAGTCAGATTAAGAAGTGTGCAAGGGCTGAGAAATATACATGTGGAACAAAGAAACTTACATTTAAACAACCTTACCCAGAATCAGGATTTCTTGAGGAGGGGAGTTTTTCAAATGAACTAATTCCATGCTTTGAAGATTCTAATTCAGAAGACCAGAGATGCACCTTTGTTATAAGCACTTCTATTAATTTATACATATCACATGATTTTGAGTACCATCCTGGTAAAACTAAAAAAACCATTGTTTATAAATTTTATGGGTTTTCATTCTGAGTGAAAATATAATGTGGGCATTTTCATGATAGTTGTCTCTGCAAATTCCCATTCCATCTAGGGCACATTTATTGTTTCAGATAGATATGTGCACAGAATAAAGTTAAAACAGTGCACATTAATTTATGGCCTATATAATACCAATAGCTGGTAGTGATTTTTATATGAGTAAGGTAAATTAATCAAAGATATTTTCTCTCTTCATGAGTTTTGGAGGGGAATCATACATGGGAACAGGCATGTCTAATAATTTAGAATGTTATTTTTCTTATATTTGAATCTGATCCCCTTGTCTATCCCTTTAAAATGGTTGTTTAAATGCTATCCATCCTAGGAATATTGTGGAGTGAATCCCAGATAGTAAAATGTGTCTGATGTATTTATTATCATTATTTGGTTTAGATGACTATATAATAGAAATGAAGCAAAATTCAAAAGATTCGTGATTGCCACTGGTGTTCTGCAGCTGGGAAATCAGGCAACTATGCTATGGTTCTGAATTCTTTTATTCCCTTTGATAGCTAGAAACTTACCTATCCAACCCTTAACCTTTCTATAACAGAGATACTGTTTTATGATCCAGCAGAACACTGATGCTTCTAGTTTCTTGTGGTCCAGTCAAAGATTTCTTCCTAGAGACACAAAGGTAAATAGTGCCATCAAAAATGGCCTTTATTTATTATGTTATTTATTTTATTTGCATCAGAGCATATTACCAGTATAGAATGAGATTTGTGATGTGACATTGATTCGTGCATGTAATAGCATTCTGTTATTTCATCTCTTATTTTCTTTTCTCTTCACTTCAAACCCTTGGATGAGAAACAAGATGCCAATTCACCCTTCCTGTGAACTGGTATGCATGCAGGGTGGGAGACAAGAACACCAGAGCACAAGAATATCCCCCTACACCCTAGGAACCATCTGATTCAGATGCCAGGCTGTGCTGATAGTATCTGAGGTATAAAACAACTTTCTTCTTTATTGTTTTTGAAATCCAATATTGTTCTCAATGTTTTGTATTGTTCTGTTTTATTGGGTTATTTTCTATTCAATGTTCTGTTTTAATTGGCTGTGCTCTGTTTTATTTTGTTTGATTTTTACTGCCTGATGGTATAGGCAACAATTTTGAAGATAACAAGAGGCATTATGGTAGCCATTGTTGATTTCCAATTGTCCTGTTTGGTAAGTCCTGTATCACTTTCATTGTTTTGTTTTGATTGGATATATTCTGTTTTATTTTATTTTGTTTTATTCTCTTTAAAAAAATAAGGGTTAAGGATGTAGCTCAGTGGCATGGTGCCTGCCTGGCAAACACAAGGTCCTGAGTTTGATTTCTATACCAAAATGAAATTAAGTAAAATAAAAACATAAGAAGAGAAACTTTAACATAGTATATGACATACAAAAAAATATATATGAACTGCTAAGTCTTATCTCCCAGAATATCAACAAATAAAAAGCTACGAAGTATACTGACCACAGTTCTCTCCTCTACTATGTACCTAACTCAAAAATACAAATTCTATTCCTAGAATTCATTATTTTGGCATTAAACTGTGATTTCTTCCCTTACACGTGGTTTATTTCCTGATATCTTAAACTTAAATGGATTTTAGACTGTTTATTAGCAAACCAAGAGTGTACAAAATAAGTAAGGCAGGGCTTCCAGTAAAGATGGCAGAGAGATAATAGTAGATTACAGAGGCTCCCTGACACAGTCAACTTAGATGCCCAAATAACAGCGTAGGGAGTACTAGATAGAGGAAGATGAATTCCTTGACCCAGGAAGAAATTAAAGTGAAAAGGACCAGTCAAACATGTAGTCCCACTGCTACTATTGGAATAGCTAGATTTGCTATTCCTGCTGCAACAGTGCCTGAACTCATGCAGCTGTGACTCATCAAGCCACCTGAATTCTGTGAGCTTCGACTCACTGGAACCACAGTTGCACTGAAGTGCGATAACACTGAAGTCAGAGGTCAGTGAGCCCAGTAAAGAATGGAGCTAGCAAGGGACCTGCATCAACCTGAGGTGAGTGCCATGAATAAAACCCTTCCAAGGGAAAGAGTGTTGTTCCAATGGGATAACATTTTGGAATTGGGTAGGACTGGCAAAAGTAAGGAATAGCAGTGAATTCAGTCAGTTGTTCCCTTCCCAGATGAGATTGGTGGGGTATGCTTGGCTTGGGTCATGCCACTGGTGGAGACCAAATATGTTGTCCCAAACCAATTGCCTAAGCGTGGTGCACACTAACCCAGTGAAGGCCTCAGCAAGTTGACTAACCTGGAGTGGAGGGGCTAGCATACACCACCCTGTTTGCACCTCAGTAGCACACTGGACTCAGCAGGATCACCTACCCAGTGTGCTTCAGAAAAAACTATAAGCAATAAGGAAAGGGACTGGGACCTCCTGTATATACCTGTGTGGAAGAAAAAAAAAATATGAGAAGAGGAAGGAACAAGAAAAAGCCCCAGACACCAACCCTGAGGACATTGGTCCAGGAAAGGTAAATACAAAAGAGATTGAGGACAGCAAACATGCAATATCAGACACAGCATCAGTAGACATAAAAAGATATCTTCAAGACCTCATAAATGAGTTCAAAAGTGAAATACTTAACCAAGTAAAGCAAGATATAAGTAGAATAGTAAAAGAAATACTAAGCACCACTCAATAAGACACAGATGGAAGAATGGAGCAGCACACACAGAAAAGGAGAGAATCATTTGATGAAGAATATAAAGAAACATAGAATACATGAAGAATGTTCAAAAAGATTACCAGGAAATTAAAAACTCCATTGAAAGCTGGCAAAACTGCTTGAAAGAAACTAAGGATAGATTATCCAGAAATGGAAGACAGGCTTGTAATGTGGGATCATGAAAGGAAAAATTTCTTAAAAATAACACAGAAAAAATAAGTAACAATACAAAGGCTAGCAGATGACAAGAGGATCTATAACTTAAGAATGAAGAATGTGAATGAAGAAGCAGGGGTAAAAACAAAGGAACTACAAAGGATATTCACAGAAATAGTTAAGGAAAACTTCCCAAACATAGGAAAAGGAAATGATATTCAGATGTAAGAGGCATACAGAACTCCAGCCACCTTCAATCAAAACAGAGTTAACCTAGGCATATAATAATCAAGATCCCAGAAATTCAATATAACAACAGAATATTAAAAGCTGTCAGAGACAAGAAACAGATTACCTATAAAGGAAAACCCATCAAAATCACAGCAGACTTCTCAACACAGACCATCAAATCAAGAAGAGATGGGAGTGAACTATTTCATGCCCTGAAAGAAAATAAACTCCAGCCCAGATTGATGTACCCTGAAAAACCATCTCTAGAAATTAATGGAGAAACAAGATACTTCCAAGACAAAGAGGAACTGGGGGGATTCATAAGCACCAATCGAACTCTACACAGAATTCTGCAGGTCATTTTAGAGAGAGAGAAAAGTAACAGGGTTTCAGGAATAATGGCAGAGAGGCCTCAATGAATGGAGCAGAAAGTGAAATAAAGAATAAAACCAGACAACTAATGGCAGAAAAAGAGCACAACAGAATTGAGGCAGAGAAGTGTGGCTACAATACCTAATATAGATGGCCTTGATACACTAAAAAAAGAGAGATAGAGAGAGAGAGAGAGAAACACAGGCAGAGTATATCAGGAGGTAGGGTCCCCTGAAATGCTCTTTATAGGAAATACAAACCAGAAAAAGGGTTTATGGACCAAAAATCAAATATGTGAAAGCAATGCTCTATGTGACAGGGAAGCAGAGATGCTCTTTATAGGAAATATGAACCTGAAAAAAGGATATATGGACCAAAAATCAAATATGTGAA